ATTACATTTTTAATATATATTCTTAATATATTATATATTCATTAATATATATTCATAATAATTCATTATAAAAATATTATAAAAATATAATAATTCATTATAAAAATTCACTAATGAAATATATTCATGAGACATTTTTGGAAGCAGAAAAGAAAGTGAAACCTCTCTATCTTCATTATATCATATTCTGTTCTCACATCATTTAATGTAAACTTAATATATATTTATAACTTATTATAATTATATAATTAAGCCTTAATTAATATTTTTGAATTCCAATTTTTATATTTATTTCGATTTTTAGAATCGATTTTCAAAGATATCCTACAAATATATTAACTTTGTATATAGAATGAGATATATGAGATATATGATGCAATATATATATATACGAATAATGATATAGATTAGATTTAGATATAGATTATAGATATAGATATAGATAGATGATGATTATTAGATTATTAGATAATGAACAAACCTGTCGTTTCTGGTTGAGATACTGTAATTTCTTCTATTGTGACTGGTATTGATTCTTCTTTTTTCAATATCGGTTTAGAATTCTCTTCATTTGTTGGTTGTTGTTGTTGTTGTTGCTGTTGTAGTGCCATATTCGCTATAAGAAAAAAGATATAAAATTCGCTATAATAACAAATATATAGAAACTTATCATTTTTTTTTAGATATGCAAAACATTATCTCACTTATTATTGGTTTAGGTTGTATTTGTTGTTGTGATGATTGCACTTGTGGTTGTTGATATTGCTGTTGCATCTGTTGTTGTTGTTGTTGTTGTTGCGTATGCTGTTTTTGTTGAATAAAAACCTGTTGATGTTGTTGTTGTATCGTTTGTTGCGATTGTTGCGGTGATTGCAGTGATTGCACTTGTGGTTGCGATAATTGCACTTGTGGTTGTTGATATTGTTGCTGCATCTGCTGTTGTTGCTGTTGAATAAAAACCTGTTGATGTTGTTGTTGCATCGTTTGCTGTGACTGTTGCGGCGATTGCAGTGGTTTACCACGACCTTTACCACTACTACCGCTTCCTTTTCCACTCTAAGTTATAAAACATAAAAAAAAAACTTCTTTTTCATTGT